CCCCCCCCCCCCCCCCGGCGACCCTGAAGAGCAGTTCGAAGAGGTTGTCCTACCGTAGCCCAGATGCAAAATCGCAGAACAGGACAAGGGCCAAACCTTTCAGTTTGCCGCATCCTTATTGTTACAACGAAATGAAAATATGGTTGTTTTTTCTTCACACTCGAACCTTTCTCTGCATATAAAACTATTACGATGATATACCGTTTCGTGCCATAGTTTGTTCAAGTAAATGGGGCACGTTGGTCATCTAAGTTTTGATTTTCCAAAATTGCTCGCTGCCACATTGACTTTTTCCACAATCAGCTTCAATTACGAGCGCACGCAATGAATCTAGGGTGGCAGTTTCCTACTAACTGAATCACTGCAATACTTGTATATCCAATGAAAGCTCAAGTTGATGACTTTGTTAAACAAAAATGGGAAACGATTTGTTGGATCTATTTGAACACCTTGTTGGGCTACGCTGGATGTGTTAAATGAATTTGCTAGATCACCTTGAATGAGAAACACTTTAAGTATTTTTTTTCACCTGAACTTGTCTTGCAACATTGTGGTTGCCCGGGGGAAATTCTTGGAACTTCAGAGATGTGCTGCGGAGGCCTTCAACCCTCATTTCGCTTCTTATTCAGGATTAAGTAATTTCTTAAACAAAAGTAAGTGATAGATTTTTCTGAATTATGTTGTTGGTACTCGGCACTCACAAGTCTTTTAAAGGTTTCTTTTCCTAAAATACATCATGTTCAGATGCTAAATAGTGAAATAGTTGTAGACTCAAAACCCCGAAAGCCTTACCCTGTCCAGCGGCTAATAAATAAGGGAGTCCTCCTCACCTCGGGGTTGGTCGGTACTGGTTTCGTTAGTTAACATACAAACGATGGCCTGTATTCATCAACTTTGTTGAATTTAACATTGTTAAATGTTGGATGATTGATCAACATACTTTGTTTGAACGGGCCCTTAGTTTGATAACAAGCTTAAATAATTATATTTCAGTGACGTTTTAGATTGTAAAATAAAGGTTTTAATTTCTAGTCCATGGTAGTTGTAACGTTTTAGGGGAGAGGGAACATAGTCAGAGGAATAATTATAAAAAGTTATGTTCAATCGCGATTTGGGAATCCAGATCCAAATTTAACGGATTATTTTGTCATTATGTATTAGCTCTTCTTCCATTGAAGATTGACTGTGAGGCCTTTTCTGGAACTGGTCCACAACGAGAAGCTACAGTGATGGTAGAGGCACCACTGGAAGACCAAGGAAAGATCGAAGAGAGAGCAGTTGTACCAGCCACCCTAAGTCCGTCACAAACCTCGAACGTAACTGCTTCTCAAACTATTCCTTCCTCACAAGACATTTTGAATTTAATTGCCTCAAAGTACTTAAATAATTTGAACCCATCAACACCGGAAGATTTTAATGGTTTTGTACGGTATATGAAAGAGGTACGCGAGGTGATTTTAGTGGATTGTAAGCCAGGAAGCTTGATAATCACTGTGGAATGTGGGTCTTTGAAGATCCTTGAAGAACTTTGGCAAGACTATTGTACACGCAATCTAAGTCGAGTGGTGCAGCAATACCTAGTGACCGAGGATATTCTAAAAGAACTTGGACTAACGGAGGTAAAACTGACTACGACCATCGACGAAGAGGACTACAGAGCTTGTCTAAAGCATTTTAAACGAGGTAAGTATAAAAGTCTTCAACTAAACTAGTTCGGATCCAGTTAATTCATCAAGGTTAAAGAGAAGCAAGCAATTGAAGTAAGTCAATATAGCACACATTCACATTGGCTACATTTTGCAAAAAAAAAAAAAAAAATTGGCAAGGAGCCATTGCTAAATATTTGACAGATCCTCTTACAACTGAAGATGAACGAAATGTGCAAGAACTCGAGGCATGGTATAAAAGTGATATGGAGATCAAGAAATCTATAGAAGAAGTCAGGGAACGAATAAATCGTTTGGAGGTAGGGTTGAAAGTATGTGGCTAAGATTGCCATTTGCATTGATTTTAATTCAACAAATTTATGTTTTTGACAGCCAGAGGATTAAATGGTATTACTGAACCTCAGCAAGCAATTCTATTGGGAGAAAAAACAGGCCAGAATACAGTGTATAGTCATCCTCGGAGACGCAGGGGCAGTAAGTCGGGTCGATAAAATGTTCCTGGTGAACGTTTACTGTAAGATCGAGAGTCCTCTCACCACGAACATTTTATCGACCCGATTAACTGCCTCTGGGTCTACGAGGATGTGTATAGTCTGATAAGTAGGAATTAAGTTTTACACTGAGTTCGTTTTCTAAACGTTTTCTCGAGTGAATGCAACGTGTTGGTTACTATTGGTAACGCCTTAACGCATACTGGTTAGCTCAACGATCCTCAATGAAAATTACTGAGTAGAATGTACGTCTGCTAAATAATTTGTTTCACATTTGCAAATGGTTAAAAATTCTATAATCTTCCTGGAGAAGGGCTTATAACCTTACGCCCTCGGTATCACAGCACTGCTGGACTCTTGTGAGAATTGCAAAGCATTCTGACAATGTCCACCCCTGTCTAGTGCATTTTTATGGGTTATGCGAACAGGTAACGTGGACAGCACCTCATATGAGACCGCGCCATTCCTCATTAAGCTGGACCACACGTAGTAAACATTCTTCTAGAATATGATTCGAGGACAAGACTTAGTTTTTGTTGTTATCAGGTCTGTTTAGTAACTGCTTACTGTGGTTATTCTTGGAAAATCATTGTTGACACTGAAAAATGTCACTCTTAGACAGCAGTTCAAGAGGAATCTAAAAGCATTACAGCATTACATGAACGAACAGATCTCATAAAAGTAGCAGTTCGTCAGGAAGCAAAAGAAATTAAGGATCAACTGATAGAGATGAATCGGCAGTCGCTCAATAGAAACAGCCCTTCACGCTCTGCCGATCAGACAAGTAGGGGTAAGTTCTTTTAAAAAAAAAAATACTCCTTCACTGGGACCAAATGGAATGAAACAACGCGTCGTTTTTTTTAAATAAATGTGCAGGTTAAGAGCCAGGGTCGGCCAGGGATTTTGGGTATACGGTATACAGGGGCTTTTTAAATCGGGTATTCGGTATATTGCAGCTTAAATACGGGTATTCGGTATATCACTTTCTTTGAATTTCAGGTATAAAGTATACCTGAAAATATACCTGGGTATACTTGGATAACTTTTGGGTATTTTGGGGTATTTTGGCGAGTTTTTTTCGGGTATACTGGTATACCACTACCCCCCCCCCCCCCGCNGGGGTAAGTTCTTTTAAAAAAAAAAATACTCCTTCACTGGGACCAAATGGAATGAAACAACGCGTCGTTTTTTTTAAATAAATGTGCAGGTTAAGAGCCAGGGTCGGCCAGGGATTTTGGGTATACGGTATACAGGGGCTTTTTAAATCGGGTATTCGGTATATTGCAGCTTAAATACGGGTATTCGGTATATCACTTTCTTTGAATTTCAGGTATAAAGTATACCTGAAAATATACCTGGGTATACTTGGATAACTTTTGGGTATTTTGGGGTATTTTGGCGAGTTTTTTTCGGGTATACTGGTATACCACCCCCCCCCCCCCCCGGCGACCCTGAAGAGCAGTTCGAAGAGGTTGTCCTACCGTAGCCCAGATGCAAAATCGCAGAACAGGACAAGGGCCAAACCTTTCAGTTTGCCGCATCCTTATTGTTACAACGAAATGAAAATATGGTTGTTTTTTCTTCACACTCGAACCTTTCTCTGCATATAAAACTATTACGATGATATACCGTTTCGTGCCATAGTTTGTTCAAGTAAATGGGGCACGTTGGTCATCTAAGTTTTGATTTTCCAAAATTGCTCGCTGCCACATTGACTTTTTCCACAATCAGCTTCAATTACGAGCGCACGCAATGAATCTAGGGTGGCAGTTTCCTACTAACTGAATCACTGCAATACTTGTATATCCAATGAAAGCTCAAGTTGATGACTTTGTTAAACAAAAATGGGAAACGATTTGTTGGATCTATTTGAACACCTTGTTGGGCTACGCTGGATGTGTTAAATGAATTTGCTAGATCACCTTGAATGAGAAACACTTTAAGTATTTTTTTTCACCTGAACTTGTCTTGCAACATTGTGGTTGCCCGGGGGAAATTCTTGGAACTTCAGAGATGTGCTGCGGAGGCCTTCAACCCTCATTTCGCTTCTTATTCAGGATTAAGTAATTTCTTAAACAAAAGTAAGTGATAGATTTTTCTGAATTATGTTGTTGGTACTCGGCACTCACAAGTCTTTTAAAGGTTTCTTTTCCTAAAATACATCATGTTCAGATGCTAAATAGTGAAATAGTTGTAGACTCAAAACCCCGAAAGCCTTACCCTGTCCAGCGGCTAATAAATAAGGGAGTCCTCCTCACCTCGGGGTTGGTCGGTACTGGTTTCGTTAGTTAACATACAAACGATGGCCTGTATTCATCAACTTTGTTGAATTTAACATTGTTAAATGTTGGATGATTGATCAACATACTTTGTTTGAACGGGCCCTTAGTTTGATAACAAGCTTAAATAATTATATTTCAGTGACGTTTTAGATTGTAAAATAAAGGTTTTAATTTCTAGTCCATGGTAGTTGTAACGTTTTAGGGGAGAGGGAACATAGTCAGAGGAATAATTATAAAAAGTTATGTTCAATCGCGATTTGGGAATCCAGATCCAAATTTAACGGATTATTTTGTCATTATGTATTAGCTCTTCTTCCATTGAAGATTGACTGTGAGGCCTTTTCTGGAACTGGTCCACAACGAGAAGCTACAGTGATGGTAGAGGCACCACTGGAAGACCAAGGAAAGATCGAAGAGAGAGCAGTTGTACCAGCCACCCTAAGTCCGTCACAAACCTCGAACGTAACTGCTTCTCAAACTATTCCTTCCTCACAAGACATTTTGAATTTAATTGCCTCAAAGTACTTAAATAATTTGAACCCATCAACACCGGAAGATTTTAATGGTTTTGTACGGTATATGAAAGAGGTACGCGAGGTGATTTTAGTGGATTGTAAGCCAGGAAGCTTGATAATCACTGTGGAATGTGGGTCTTTGAAGATCCTTGAAGAACTTTGGCAAGACTATTGTACACGCAATCTAAGTCGAGTGGTGCAGCAATACCTAGTGACCGAGGATATTCTAAAAGAACTTGGACTAACGGAGGTAAAACTGACTACGACCATCGACGAAGAGGACTACAGAGCTTGTCTAAAGCATTTTAAACGAGGTAAGTATAAAAGTCTTCAACTAAACTAGTTCGGATCCAGTTAATTCATCAAGGTTAAAGAGAAGCAAGCAATTGAAGTAAGTCAATATAGCACACATTCACATTGGCTACATTTTGCAAAAAAAAAAAAAAACTGGACAACGCCAGCTTCCTAAACAGTTTTTCTTCCATGGCTCGACTATGGGTGCTTTCGATTGGGAAAGCTGGATAAATTTTAGATTTTTATACTACTGAAAATCCGGATTTCGGATTTGCAATTAAACGCAAAATCCGAAAACGGATTTCAACGCTGAGATATCTGTTTTTGTATTTCCTTTTACCGTTCGATTGGGAAACCCGTAAAAGGATTTAAAAAACTGTCCTTAAGAATAGCGGCCTTGCACGCGCACGCGTAATTAACAAAGAGAAGACCACTGTTCACGAGAATAGTTTTTCAAATCCATTTTCGGATTTCCCAATCAAACGGTGAGGAGGAAATCCTGATTTGGATTTCTTAATTGAAATCCACTCTAAGGACGGGTTTCTCGGAGTTGAAATCCGTTTTCGGCCAGTTTCGTTTGATTGCAAAGTAGGAAATCCGGATTTCGAAAATGTAAATCCGGATTTTGCGATCAGAAATTTGTTTTTTTGTTTCATTAAGGACTAAAGCAATCTAAGATTGCAATCTGAACGATCCACCTCCGCACTTGGATCGTTCTGATTGGTATCTCAATCTGCTTTCAGATCTTTGTTCCATTAGCAAACTGCTTTTCGATCCAAGAACGTGTTCGTTCATTAATAAACACAGCAGGTCAAGATTTGTTCAGGCAACAGTTATTTTTTACTCCTTCGTTGCTCTAAGCCGCTAAAGGATTGTAGTATATTAAACTCAAGTTCCACTGTCACTCTAAATCCGTTAGGAAGCGAAAACGCTTAGATTTTCTCACCGTAACACTATATTGTCCAATGTCTGTAATTGTTTAGAGCGCGCTCCTCAGCGCTTGAGAATTCGTAATTGTCTTCGATCTGAATTTTCTTGAATCAAATTCCAGACAACTTAAGTTGACAAGTCCCAGTCTGAACCACCACTAGTTAAAGAACCCTAATTTTCTTTCCGTTTCTCCACGAGAAAACGCTTAATTTAGCAGAAAGAAGTAAAAAACGATGCGTTGAAATTGACAAAAAGATCGGAGCGGCAGGCAGCTACTGAATGGATCAATCTTATTTCAGATTTTTGTTCCGGCTAGCACGAGAGTCCAAACAAACAATCCGAAAAAAGTTTGGCTAAAAGGAATGCAACCTATGTTGTATGGTCCTGTATCAACCACGTGATATCAGCTTTTTATCGTTGCAATGACAACCCATCCGATCGAGGTATTTTTAACCATTTGTGATTTAGAGTGGTAAAGTTTTAAAAAAGCCTCTTTAATAAGCGGTATTCCGTACAAAAAGGTTCATGAATAACTTTCTTAATTAATCAATGCTGGTGGCGACATTTGCAGTAGGTTACTTATAATTTCCATGTTTTTTTTGCTCTTTATATTCGTAGACTGTTTTTTTACACCCTGATTTGTGTTAGTAGCTTCTACTTAAAAGCTTGTTGTCAACTTAACTATCAACCACATTTATCAGCTTCTTACAGTCAAGCCACGTGAAGCTTACCCCACAAGATTCCGTAAATGAATTTATTATTCGAAAGTTGAATCCGTTGCTAGCTGTAGATTTCTGATTCATTTCTGCACTCTTGCATGCGTAATTCCGTGAATTCTCACGCGAGTCATTAAATTTCTACCAGCTCAGTTTCCATGAATTTGCATATGTAAAAGTCTTTGAAGAAATTTTATTCATTCAAAGATTTTCAATCTGACCATATACACCATTTTCTCATAGACCATAATGCTCCTTGTGTACAGACACGCCCTCCTCCCCCCACCTCCATCCCCTCCATCTCCTCTAAAAAAATTTGCAAAGCCATTGTTTTGGATTTCTCTTGGGACGACTGAAATACCCAGGATAAATTGGAAACAATGGTTATGTAAAATTTTGGTAGGAAAACAAGGTGCATTATGGTCTACGTGTAACTGGTGAATTTTGGGAAGAAGTACTCGTATAATCACTGCTCATTACGCATGCAGGAATGCCGATTTGAATTTGACACTAGTTACGGGAACGACTAACGGGTTTAGTTTTCAAATAATCAATTCATCAATAGAATCTTGGGGAATATAGTGCTATCCTAAGAGATGTACTTTATTTTGTCTTAGTACAGTATGTAGTCTTTGGTCCGCGACTAAAAATTATTAACATGAATATCTTAGCCCTAACGAGCTGAAATACTCCCTGAAGATAGCTTTTATGTTCCTGTCGATAATCCTGAAGTTTCAAGTTCCAGACATAAATATTCTGCTTGGAATTTAAAAAAAAGCCGACCGACTCCGATGGTCCTTGGTCCGCGAGTGTGGTCCTTCTTCCGCGACTCAGGTAAGCAGCACGAAAAAAAACGTAAAAATGTTATAGTTTCCACACGAAAACGTGATTTTCACAATATTTCATGTATTTTTTTCTATTCTTGATGCTATTAAGTTTTTTACGGAAGATGTTGTGAGTATAAAATAATCTGCTTTTCTTTCAAAGCTTCAGACAACAGTCTCCCCGAGTCTCCCACACGAGCGTCGACGAGCGGTTTTCAGCGCGGTCGAAAATAATTACTAAAAACTCTGTATGTATTCGAGGTATTAAAAAAAGAGAACTCGTAGACATGTATCAGTAGGGACGATTTTCAAAACATTCTTTGAAAACAAAGGCCGTCGCTTTTTATTTTGGGAAGTTTTTTTCAACCAAGGTCATAGGTCGCGGACCAAGGACCATAAGCGAAATTTGGTGATATTTATCAAGAGTCGATAAAACAAAAACTCAAAGTCTGCTGCAATATGCTTCCAACAGCAGAAATAGGTTGATCTGAAAACCTGTTCTGCAAAAAGGCACTTCTTCCCGTTGCGTTTTATTTATTCGCAGGCTAAGTAAACATGACCATGCAATTTACAGTGCCGCAAAAGTCCAAACTTCAAGAAAGACAAATTAACCTACCTGTCAAAAAACTTTAATTTCGCGTCTTCACCCACAGCAAGAAAGCCGAAACGTCGTCATATGAAAGAATGCTAATCAGTAAATCACGATATCTTTCATTATTCAACGTATTTTTTTTTCTCGACAAAATATTTTATCATTTTCCGAAAAGTCGCGGACCAAGAACCACATACTGTACCCGTATATATTACATACTGTTTTTTTTCTTCTACTTTTGGCAACGAGAGTCAGTTTTCCGTTGTTGTTGTTTTTGTTGTTGTTTTTTTTCATTTCTTTTTATCTCGAGGAAATCTAAGACGTGACGTTGCCATGGTAAACGATCCTTTTGCGTATCTTCTCTTTTTTCGTCGGTGGAGATCCCAAATTCGTTATTATTCTCAGAAAGATAACGCACGAAAGTAATAATAATAATAATGATAACAGTAATAATAATTTAACGTTATTTAAGTGTCGGGTACTTTTTCTCGACGAAAAATAAACAGGTTTACCAGCACATTAATAGCCTCTTCTTAAAAAAATAACACTGTGTCATACTCATAATTCCCGATTTATTTCGTTCGTGAATCTGTCTGAAAAGGGTAACGATTACCTTTTACAAAAGCCCCGTCAAGAGAGAATGAATGTTTTATATCACATATGCTAGTTTCTAAAATCAGCTGTAACGTGGGAGTTCTAGTTTCGGAACTCTCCCTAGTTGGTGGAAACACTTACAAGTGAAGTTAATTTTTTTCCTTCCAACGCTTTCAGAAGGACCCAAGGCAAAAACACCAGCACTAACGGAAGGACATCAAGGGTACTCCGGGGACAGTAGGGGAACCGGGAAGGACGGGGATTTCCAAGCAAGGTCAATGCACCGCCGACACGTCCGTCTATATGGTGGTATGCAAATCTTTGTAAAGATGCTTACTGGACGAACATTTACTTTAGAAGTCAAACCAAATGACACTATTGAGATTTTAAAGAGAAAAATTCACAACATGTGTCAAATTCCGCCAGAGGATCAACGTCTTATTTTTGCTGGAAAGCAATTGGACGATGGACGGACTTTGAGCGACTACAACATACAGGGAGAATCAACACTGCACATGATTAAGAGACTTCGTGGTGGTCTCATGCGCATTTTTGTCAAGACTCCAACTGGAAAAACACTTAATATACCTATTGACAATGAACATGTACGTACTATTGAATATGTAAAGACTAAAATCCAAGATGAAGAGGGAATTCCTCCTGACCAACAACATGTCCTTTTTGCTGGCATGCAGTTGGAAGATGGCCGCACCTTGAGCTCCTACAACATCGTACATTTGTCAACTTTGCAGCTAGTTCTAAAACATCAGGAAGGCATGGAAAAGAAGTAATTATGCCAAGTGACAGAACCACCTGAAAGGAACTAGGTGATAACATAAGACAGCGAACCTGCGGAAATCGTGGTTGGGAATAAAAGCAAATGAAGAATTTAGCCTGATTAACAGTGCTGCTTGTCTTACCCACATAGAACTGGCTTAAAGATATATATGCCGTGTTTACGACTTCCCAAAGAATCAACTTCACCGTTAACTTAACTATAAGAGGCGACGCTTGCTTGATTATATAACAAGATGGGAAACGTATGTTACGAAAGCTAAGAGCCTCGAAAACTAAGACCTAAGACCTGTCTTAGTTTTCGAGATTACGAAAGACTCCTAAAATCAAATTCTTCGAAGTATGAAGTCAAATTAAAACCGAAGTAGGTCTAATCTGTCAATTTATCTTCTGTGTGATCCTTTCCAAGGAGGTTTATGTCAAATTCTGCGGAAAATTTAGGGGTCTTAGTTTTCGTAGTTTCGAAAACAGAGACCCTGCTTATTTTTCTTTGTTACGAAAGCTAAGACCCCACAAAATCAAAGAAGGCGACAAACCGGCAATGCCTGGGTTCATATCTGACGGCAAATGACTCAAAGATAGCTTCTCCATTCTCCTTTTTTTCTTTTCATTCTATTCTGCAAGTGACCTTGAGGGAGGATGGAACTATATAGTAGGAGTTTTATTTTTCTAGAATACATAAAGTCATAACTAGAAATACGGGAAAATAATGGGACGCGAAAGAAAAACAAAAATAAACTGTTGTAATAATGTTAATTGAATTTATCAAGTTTGTTCATGCCAGTTTGTTTTACGCACGTTGTCTCGACCTTTGTTCTACATACACTTCCCTTCAATCGCTAATGTGGATGGCCAAATCTTTTTATATATATATATACATCTAGGCGAATTTTTGAAAACATACCTCAAAACGGACCAGAATATTCGCACAGGAACCTGGCGATAGCCGGGTTTCTGGTCACTGTGGTGAGGAAAAACATAGGGGCCTTGCTGTCCTGGTTGGTCTCATTGTCAAGCTCAGTCCCTGAGCTAACTCGCCATGGGTTGGGAAGGGGCCTCCATGTCAATCCCTGGGGGGGGAGGGTGCTGCAAAAGCGTGGTACTGTCCTTAGTCTTGCTCTGGGAGGGTCATTGGACTGGTCATGTCTGCCTCTAGTTTGTCATGTCAAATTCTTTTAATGTGTGAGGCCCATTGGCCAATGAAAGCATACCCCTCAAGCACGTGCTAGGCTCCCCCCCCCCCCCCTAGTCAGGGAGTTAAATTAACCTTGAATTCTTTGCTTAGAACTTGGTTAAGTCTCAAGCACCCTCTGTCATCCAGAGCCTTCAAGCAGCTAGAGTGTATGGCCAACTCCAGAGTGTCTTTTTGATGGACTTGAATGTTTCTTTTGCTAATCAGGAACCAAGAAGAGAGTCATCTTAAGAGAACCATGGGTAAGAGCTGAGTTTCTTGGCAATATTTACTTTAGTTGAGTCAGTTTAAAGTGTGTGGCCTTTAGAAGCCCGCTGGTGGGGTTTTTTATAAATCCGGCTAGATATATATACATATACACGGATTCGATCATCGGCACGAAAAATTAAGACGTGTCAAGTCCGGTTAACATTCTGAGAAACAGTTTTAGAAAATGTATTTGCGGTGATGATTGTGGATGGCTAAAAAGTAGAGCCGAGTCATATGAGGGATCTAGCCTGCGAATACAGCCGTTTGTCCTTGCTCCTCGCTGCTAGGGACGTTTCCCCGGGAGGAACGTCTGCGCCTCAGCGACAGAAATTCCATACTGATGACGTAAATCAACGTTTACGTAACAAATCCGGTATTCATGTGGTTCCAAATGTAAATTTGTTTGGTTTTATGGTCGATTATGGTAAAGTTTTGTGTTCTACTGCGAACGAGCTTCATCAAAACTCAGATGCTTTTTTTAAAGAAGAATATATTCCCGGAAAATTTTGTAGTAGATTCATCACGTTTACGACCCCGTTTACATTCGACCTTTTTGGCCTTTTGTCTTTTGTCTTCCTTTCGTAAACAATAGGTAAAACAATGTAACTACTCCGTCGACAAATCAGAGCCCCTGACCGGATTCCGGACAGATTTTACGTCATCAGTATGGAATTTCCGTCCCTGAGTCGCAGACGTTCCTCCTGGCGTAACGACCCTAGCGGTGAGGAATAAGGAGAAACGGCTGTATTCGCAGGCTAATGAGGGATCCCGACTCTGACGGCTGACGGCTGAATGTTCACAGTTGAACCCCTCCAACCCCCCCCCCCCCCCCCCCCCCCCCCCGGAGGGCAAGAGAATTCCGGGGGGGGGGGGGTCCAAAAGGGGGCAA